ACTTTGTGAAAGGTTGAATTTTTTTCAAAATAAAGTGATTTTCTCACTTCTCTTTTAGCTTTCACAGGTATTTCTAATTTATTTAAGTAATGAGACTGCTGTCTCTTATCCCCTGAGAGGAGAAAGATTACATAGAACTGTGTATCCTGACACTATACATACAAAACAATTCAGGAATAACTGATATCCCAGAACTAAAATATATTTAGTTATATTGCTTTTTAAATACTTTTATTGCTAAGGATATGCAGATAAGGGAAAATTAGCTTGACTAGGAAGGGAAGTGTTAAAGAAAAATGTGGAGAAATTGTAAAATTGTCACCTATTTTTGAAAAATGAATGTGAGAACGATAAGGATTAGAATCATTGATAAGAATGGAAGACAACATTCCAGGATAAAGCCATCAAGGCATAAACCATCTAATCTGTTGTGACTGTGGGACATATGAAAGTTGTAAGTGGAGGTAAAACTAGAAAAGACAGTATAGTTGAAACTTCTCAATATAATTAGAATGCTATTTGAATCCTTTCCTAGTAAGCAGCTACACTTACGAGTCTAAAAAATTAAATTAAAAATCAGTTTTCCAGAAATGAATGAGAACATATCAGGCATTTCTCTTCTTTATTTTGATACAGTGACTTTTGCAGCATCATTTAGTTACTGTGACAACATTTGACATCTGTTTTCGAGATCATTTCCAAATTGAATGTCAGAGGTCTCACTGATTTATTCAAGTCAGTGCTTAGAATAATACAGACAGGAACAGGATGTGAAAACTGTGTTTGTGTGTCAAGACAAAGTCAGTGTCATAAGTAACCATGTGGAATCCATCGACAAAAGCTCCCCACAGCTTTAAGTGGCCTGGCCCCTCATTCTCAGTATTCTGAAACTGGTTAGATTATTGATGAAGAATTGACAGACATTGTGCAGTGATTTACCATTCAAGAGGATATCAAATGTCAAGTGGCTCAAATTAGTTGTTACATATGCAAGCAATAATGGTAAATACTTGCCTTTTCAAAAGTCAATTTAATAGCTCTGTATGTATGATTCATTTATTCATTCACCCACTCATTCATCGTCCTCATACATCAAGTATAGATACCAAGTACGTTCAAGGCCTTCTAGCAGATAACGATGATGTTGATGAACTTGTCCACAAAGAACTGATAATCTATAATTGTGAGAGAAATGTAACCACACAGAAAAAGTCTAATGTAAAAAAATTAAAGTATCTGGGAGAAAGTGGAGAAAGATTAATTTAAATTAGACCTTAAAGAATAAGGGAAGTGTTGAGAGGGGTGTCGAAAGGGTACCGTAGGCGGAAGTAAAAGAAAGCGGATGGGAGAGTCCTAAGGGGCAGGAGGCTAGAGTTGGTTCAGTGATAGATAAGGCCGCGCAGTAATGTTCTAATCATCAAAGCCACAGACAAATTAGAAAAATGTATGTTTTGTGTCTAAAGTTTTCTGTGTTCCTAAAGAATTGTAAATTTGGAAAGAATAAAAGAGATTTTTGAATCCAAGAAATACTTTTTATATTGCATTATTAATATGACTTATTAGTCATTTTGCACTTGAAATTTTTCTAATTTGTGCCTAGAAACTGTATTTGTTTTTCATGTGCTGGGGATTCACCTTTTGTTTAAAATTTATTTTAACTTTATATGCATGAATTCACCACCTTGATTTCCATAAGATATGTGTAGGTGACGTATAACTCAAAGGCTCTTCTACTCACAGAAGCTTTGAAAAGGTTTGATTCTTGTTATCCTAATAATCACCATCCATCCGTCAAACTAGGCACATTATCAGAAGCATTGGGAGATTGGATTTCAGTTGATAATCTCTGAGATTATCTTGAAGCTATTTTGCTTTTACTCAAAAAGGAAACTGAAAAAGAGTAAGAAAAATCTGTCCAGTGCTCCATTTTATAATTGAAGCCTGAGCAAAAATTCAGTAGCTCAAATTCAGTCTCAAATCTTATCTTGAAAAGTAACAATTTGACACATAGACCAGTCATTTACTATTTCCATGCCTTTGTTTTCTGTTATGCTCTGTAGCATAGTATTTTCAAATGGTAAATAGAGGTTTTTTAAAATTAATTTTTTATAATCAGAATAAGAAACATACTTTTGCCTCATGACCCAGTATACACACGCATACACACACACGCACACGCACACACACACGCACGCACACATGCACACATGCATGCACACACACGCATACGCACACACATACACATACACACACACGCACACACACATGCATACATACACACATGCACGCACACACGCACGCATACATACACGCACGCACGCGCGCACACACACACACACAAATCTCATGAAACAGTATTGTGATGCTTTTCACTTTAATTTGAAGTTTTCGTTTTATTTTGCTTCATTTCGCTTATTTTCTGAAAATGTTCTAGTTGGGATCCATTAAATTTATTTCAACCCTTACAAGTGGGTTGACATCTAGGTTTGGAAAATTTTTAGACAGTCTGATACCGTTCTTCACTTCTCTCTCTCAAAAAAAAAACTAAGACTTTTTTGCTTAGTTGTTTTTCCACTTTGAATAGTCCCCCTTACTGTAATGTATCCAATTGATTTTTTTGCTTTTGTTAAAATGAATGCAGTTTTACTTTGACTTGAGGCTACATATGTTTACAAGAAAATAATGATGAAGAAATTATTATATATTAAGAACCAAACTGTAATCTTTTTCTCCTGTCAATGAAACAATGAATCATTTTAATTATTTTGACACAGAATAACTTTATAGATTTGAGGAATATGACATTGAAATATGACATGGTTGGTTAGCTTCTATGAGAAATTGATTCAGTGAACTAAATCAAAATACCAAAGAAAGCTTGAGGTAACCAGGAGTTTTGTTTTTGTACATTTTAATATTAATGAACACTTTTTATGTGGAAGAATACTAGTCACATATTGTGCTTACAGGAAAAATTATATTCTGAAAACTTTTAGTGATTACACAGATTCTTATTATTTTATAGTCTGTTTTATCTATTTGACTTGATATTGATCTGACTTCTTAAAACTTTTGAAACCTTCAAATGATAGCAAAAATACAGTTTCAGGTGACTCTAAACAAAGAGTATTTCTTTGCTACAAATAAAACAATTTTGGTGGTAATTCTCACCTAGAGCTCTACTCCTTTAAAAATCTGAAGTGAAAAATTCAAATAATACAATGCATAGGTATTTCAAAAGTGTTAGATATATGTTAAGCAGTATGCTAAGGATCTTGTGGGTAAAATTACAATATTTCCAGAATCTCTTGCCCAGCCTTAGTGCATCTCCATATCAATAGGTGTTTCCAAGGGGTGGAGAGAAGTAGTCCAGTTCATATCAATGGGTATTTATGAGGGGGAATAAGGGCATATCTGGACCTACAAGGTTGGGTGGAGCCCCTTTTTGCAGCTGGGTTGCAAGAGATACTGGAAAGCAGAAATGGACAACTGCTTGTAAGCCATAAATGTGTTTCTCCCACTTTATTTCTCCCTTTGACAGATTTCAGTTTCAAAGGTAATTTGCCCAGGGCTGGGAGACAGATGTTCTCCTCCCCACCCCCCACCCCTGCAGTTACAGATGTACACAGAGTATCTTATCAATCCTCCCAAAAACCTGCAAGAAAGGTATTTTTCCACACCCTGACTATGATGTGTCTTTGAAGACAATAGCATTGAAACATTTTGAACTTAGTCACATCTGAGCTCTTAACCATTATGCTGTACTGGTACCTTTATCACCACATTTATTTTAATTATCATGGATTCAGACAATTGTAGTGCTAGCAATTGAACAACCTGCAGAATAAAAATTATGTATCCACTGCATTGTGACATTTTTACTTCAGTATGTTATTAACATCACCAAAACCTAAACAAAACCCTGTCTTCTCTACTCAATTTGAGAGCTCACAGAAAGGCCTCATGGAAGGAACATAAAATGATAGAGTTAAAAGAGTAACAGGGAAAGAAAGGTATGTGAACATCTTAATACTGGTGAGGCACAAGAGAAATGGAGAAATTAAAAAACATTCATCATGCAAAATATGCAAATGTGTTTACTTCATAAAACTCAAGGGGAGCATATAAACTCATGTTCATATTCCAGATACATCTTCAAAGTAATGATTCAACAGTATTTCTCTGATGTCATTCATTTGATTCAGTCATTATCTCTGATCTTCAGCCATTTCTTTAATAGAGGTAACACAGTTAACAGAAGGAGTGATGTTTTAGAAGGAAATGAGGGGAGGAGGGTGGCTTACATTGCCTGGGATGAGGAAGAATGATTTAACAAACTACCTGCTCAAATTTCCTTCGTTCATCTGATTTTTTTCTCCAAAAGGTTCACCAATCTTATTAAATATGAATAATTTAAAGCTTTAGTGAATGCACACTGGATCTATGAACTTTTTAAGGTGCTTATTGATAAAAGGCATTCACTGAATCCTTTTCCTCCTTAGAGTGTGCTAAAACTGTTACCAGTGGCCAAGAAGCCATTTAGCCGCTTCTATGTATTTGTCATCCACATGAAAATGGAAAACTCAAATCTGTATATGTTATTAGATTTCCTCCTGAATTCCAAGTCTGTAAGTTCAACTCATTAGAAATACACATACATAATATAAATATAAATATAAATATAAATATAAATATAAATAAACATAGGTTATATGTCTCTAACATCTGAAGTCCAGAAGACCAAATAACTTATAACCAGAAGGTTTCTTTTTAAAATCTAATATTTTACTATTTACTATAAATATTTTACTATTTACTATAAATATTTTAATGATTTATAATTGTTTTCCTCCCAGTTGGGTTAAAATTGTATGCTGATTGTAGCATAATCTCAATTATCAACATAAATGCCTACTTAGGTAACATATACATACATCTATAATAAAAATATATGAAAAGCATTTTGTTTTAGTTTGCTGAATCTCTTTTTTTTTTTCCAGATGAAGTCAGAATTGTAAGCAAAACAAAGAGGTTGCTTGGAATGAAGGTGGTAAGAGAGGCAAAAACAGATGTGAAGCAACCTCAGGAACAGGTAAGGTCTGAAAAGCTTTGCAGACACATGTACAAGGATGCACACTGTATCTATCTGAGATTTCATTTATATGTCTCATAAATAGGTCCATGCACAGTAACTAAAAAATTGCTGTAATTAAAACAAGTGTTCAGTTTATAAAGTGCAAAATGATTGAAAAATGTAATGAACTACTATTACTATGAATTGTTTTTCTTAGACTTCATCACGGAAATATAAGGAATGTTGATTTTGTAGATGCTTTATAATAGATTCACACATTTAGGAGTCCATTTTTTTATCCAAAGTATGTACATGTTCAATTACACAAATTGTCCAATTTAGATAACTGCCATCATGGTATGTAAATTGCTATAGTTTCCCATTTTTTTATGTTCTAGTGGATATGAAAGGGTACCTCAAATAATATTGAATATCTTTGCAAGTGTTTATATTTCCTTTTCTGTGAAATGCCTACTTATACTTTGCATCAATTTTTCTTTGATAAAATAATCTCATATATAGTTCTCTATATATTTTGTCTGGATAACCATCCTTTGATAAATTTGCATTGCATATGTCTTCTGTAAAAGTGGTGTTTGTGACTCTATGTTTTCTTTCTGGAATCTTTATGAGCAAATAGAAATCCTGAATTTTGTAGTAGTAAGATTATCAAATGTTTCCTTTGTGGTTTATTTTTTTCCTTTATAATAAAACATTCCATTTTCTGAAATCATAAATAACCCTAAATTTGTTTTTATATGTTATAAAGCTCTGTCAAAACTAAGTCCTTCATTAACCTAAAATTGTTTTCTCTGTGTGGTATAAGGTTGGGGTTATTTTTGTTTTTTCCATTGGAATAGCAATTTTCCTAGTTTGATGTATCAAACCATGACACTGAATGAAATTTTCCCCACTCATCTTTTATACTAATCTTGATAACGTCTGATTTTCTTGTCTCCAGCCTGTCATTTCTGCAGCACCCTCCACTCACTTGAGTAATACAGCTTTACAGTGTGATGTCAAGTAGGAAGGACTGACACCGCATTTTGTTCAAGAACACCTTAGTTGTGCTTGAATCTCTATTATTCCATATGATTTTTATGTTGCCCTTTCAAGTTCCATACCCATCCCCTGCCCCCACAAAACCTAATACCCAGGAACCCTCATTCTCTAGGCAAACAGCTTGGGAAATGGATTGCTTGCATCAACATGCTACATGGTCCTTAGAGCAAAAGCCTTACAAATGATCTATAGTACGCATACCATATGAATCTAAGGGTTTCATATATTTTCTCATGCATTTTCCTGTTTCTAGTTGTTCACATCTTTCATGTTTCAGCCTTCACACCTTTTCAAATGAGATGTTGTGAATACATATTGCTTGTCTTAATAGGGTCGGGGAGCGGTAACAAACTAAGCAACAAGATTGTGGGGCTTTTGTTTAATTTTGGTTTTGGTCTGCCATGCTGACACTTGGGCTCATGGCCATTCAGAGTGGAAAACAGTGATAGCGTGGAGCTGAATGACCAGAGTTGATATTCCAACGCCAACATTGAGGAAATGCCTGTAGCTCTTCTATTTAATGGTCACAAATGTGCCTCACATAAGTCTCTATAAAAGATGAGAATGTATGGGATCTACTAAACTGAATTATGAACTCACCCTTTATTAGGAACGTACATGACTTAGATATAATTTTTAATTACAACTGTTTGCTAGCAGAGAGCATGATTTTATAGTACATATTCAAGCAACTTTAGGAAAGGTTATTTCTCCCAAATGGGCAAAGTCATAAATTGGTTTTTAATTATTTAGAGAATGACAACAAAGAAAAGTGACTTTATTTTTATTTTTTTAAGTTTTCTCCTAACCCATATATTTTGTTTCTGAGTGTAATTCCTTTATTCTCAGAATATTGTGATAGCATTAATTATTGAACTGGATATCAAGTGGGACACTCTTTATGTAAAAATGTTCAATTAGCATGGCTTAAAAATGTCAATTGAAAGAAAAGGGAGAAAATCTATAAAAAAATATGTTTGCCTCTCTTGATTCTTGAAAAGTGGGATATCAAAATTATTGTTACTTAAATTTATGTGACATGCTTCCAATGTTTATGGAAACTTTAAATTAATCTCCTTCCAAACATATCCTTCCATAATGTGTCTGAAACAATGTGCACCACACACATCAGCTTAGGCAGGACCCGTTTAATGAGTCGTTGTCAGTAAAGCCACACCTACACACGTGGTTCCAGATAACCTCAGGAGCTTTGAGAGTTCTGACTCCAATGGCTTCTTGGCCTTCAGCCCCTCAGGAGCCATTTATCCTCATGAAGTTTTCCTCTTTGTACCTTTGTCCTGGAGTTTTTTTTCACATAACTGTCTTTTTATTTGATAAAAGGTTCATTTTAATCAGTGGGTCACTCAGGATCCTCAGTTGGCTTGTGAATAGAGGAGATTAAGGTGCTAGAGGAAAGAGAGCTCTCCTCTGCCCCTCCTCGTCCTCTGGCTCATCTCAGCAGGCTGCAGACTAGACACCGCCAGGGGGTCGATGGCGCATCTGCATGAAGAGCCATGAGACCTGATAGGAAGGAGTCCAAAAATGACCCATGAAACTAACGACCCAAAATGAAAACCGGTATAACAGAACCAACCAGTCGCAACATGTCTTTGTTCTTCCTGCCTTCCCTTCTTCCCCTACTTCCTACCCTCTTGCTCTCTTTCTAAAATTTATATATGCTCAGCTGTGGTTACATTTAGCCAAACCTTTCTTTAGTATTATGATTCTATATTGTTTTATTTCTGTGAAGACTTTCACAATCCATCGGAACTTCTGCTCTATATTTTGACTTTTTACTCTTAAACTGTTTTTGTTTCCTGTACTCTCTCACTTCTAGCCTAAATACCTCATATACTTACTAGGCCTTATAAAAGGTATAATCTAGTCCCAGGGAGGGTGAACTACTCTGGAATTAGTTCTCACTGCCTTTGATACCACTTAATGCCTCGCCAGCTGTGAGTATACTTTAGAATACATATCCGTATGTGTTTATAATTTTATAGATATTTTGCACCCACAAATGCAGTATCTGGAGTGCCTACCAATATGAAGGATCTAAATAAGTCCACACTAAAGAGAGTAAAAAGGATGGCATAAATGAAATTAACTTGCTTTTATGAACTTTAAAGAAAAATCAACTTAAAATGTAATTTTTGAAGTTATTCTCTCACTAATTTCTGAAATTTTCTAAACTTGAATCCATTCTAGACCAGCTTCCTTTTTTTGTATACTAGATTTGCAATTAAGCATCAGAAATATATGATTGCTGATGAGTTCGTGTATCCTAAATGCATCAGTGTTCTGTGTTAGCCAAATGTATTCAACAGTGGGTTTTAGTAGAATATCACAAAATAAATAAATAAATCTAAAAGAGATTCACTGAAGTGAGCAATCTTCTGTATACTTAGTAACTTGAAGCTGGTGCTGTATTTCTAAAGGTTAAAGCCACTTCACCTCTTCTGCTTTCGTCTTTCTTAAAAGAAAGAGCATGATTTGAATTCTTGACCTTCACATTCTCTTTTCTCTTAATTTCCTTGACTCCTGCCATCTTCAGTTCTACTTTACCTTTCCAGAAGCTCTTTTTTTTAGTATACTTCCTCTCTCCCTGACCCTTCGATAGTAAAATTGGGGGAAGTATATTAACACCCAGTTCATGTCAGAATCATCTGACAGTTTTTCCAAGACACGTTTTTGTGCCCTTGCCTTAGAAATCCATGTTAGTAGTTCTGGGCTGAAAAGACTGTCAGTGTGCTAGGCTATGTAACAAAGTGCTATAGACTAGATGGCTGCACAACTAAAATATTTTTTCTCACAGCTCTGGAGGCTGGAAGTTCAAAATCAAGGTGCTGGCAGGGTTGGGTCCCCCTGAGGGCTGTGAGGGGGACTGTCCCAGGCCTCTGTCCTTGGCTTGCAAATGACTGTCTTCTCCCTGTCTCTTCACACTGCTTTCCCTCCATGTGTGTCTGCATCAAAATTCTCCCTTTTTATAAGAATGTGAGTCATATTAGCATCTATCCTTGTGACACACTATAACTTGATTATGGAGAGATCCTATCTCCAAATAAGATCACATTCTAAAGTTCAGGAAATTAGGACTTTGTCATATGAATTCCAGGAGACAGAGTCCAATCAATCAAAGAGTCTTCAGATGAATATTTTACAATTATATCAAAACTAATATGTAAATCTGTGAAATGCCCGAAGGCTGGGTTTCTGGCCTTTTCTCTGTCAATTTTGCATACTCTCTTAGTTCATGCAACCTGGGCCATTCTGTAAGGAAACACACGTTTTTCTACATCATCTCTGCAGGCCTTATTGGCACACTCAACCAGGTGGGAGAAGGTGAGATGGAGAATCCAGAATGCACACGTCATTCTTCCTGCGGGCAGGTCATGGCTGCAGTACAGAAGGTCCCCTGTAATTATTAGAAAGAGGGACTTTAGACTCAGCAGACTTTGAACTGAGACTTTAATTATATCTAAAATATGCAGTGTTATCATGTGAATTATTAGATGAGCTGAAAGGTTATTAGTTGGTCTCTTGGTATCACCCCTCCCACTAAAATTCAGGTACTGGGGACGTCAGAAAAACACTTGCTGTCATTAACACCATAAAAACACTCCATGTTTGTACCTTGCTGTTTTGAGGCTGATCAAAATAAACCTTTATAATTAGTTTTCAATGGAATTTTGCATTTAGCTATCTTTCTAGGCTTTGGGTAAATTATCAAACAAAAAACAGTTTTGTAACCAGTTAATCATTTTCTCATGCCATGCACCCTTCTGAACCTCTTCTTGCTTCACTTTTTTTTTGTGAGCTTTATTCAGAAATTTCTCTGGGACACAGAATTCACAGATACAAAATGGGAAGAATTTTATTCCCCTGATAGCTTCCATGTATTGAGCCAGAAATGAAGATAATTGCTGCTCTTATTCAATAATCACAATAATTTCCTGGGCTAGACATTATGTCAATGTTTTATAGATTTAGAAAATTAGATTCTGAGATCTGGAGTAACTGTTCCTAAGGGAACAGTTTTGAGGTCAGTACTGTGCGCAGGTCCCATCACTCCAAAGCCCATGTTTTCAGCCACCCGAATATTTTGCTACCTTGATTTGGAGGAGCATTTTTTCAGCCCAAAACACAGTTCAATCAGATCATAATAAATTCTCATCTAGTCAGGACAGATACTTCTACTCTGTTTTAGAGAGACAAGAAAGCTGAGTTTCAGAAAATTAAATGCTTGCTCAAGCCAGTCCGTCTTTGCCTGGCAAGAACCAGCCCAGATGCCCACCCTCATATATTCCTTGCCTAACATCTATTTTGTTTAATCTTTGTGTCACACATTACTTTAATATAAAATTTTATTTTATTTTGGTGAACTGTTAGGAAAAATTGATTTCAGATTTTGCTTCTTCCCTTGGTTTAGGAATTAATTTTTCCCAATTATTTTACTGAAAAAAATATCCTCATACATCTTACAAAAGGGCCCTTGTTTCTGAGAATTATATAAATCACTACCCTTCATCAATGTAACCCATAATTAGTTGATAAAAGAATTTGGACATAATAAGTTTTTAAAGTGAGAGGTACATAAAAATACAGAATATATGAAAGATATTTAGAAAAAAATGACATCTGTGATATAGAAAACTTGATTCCTTTTTCCAATTTACTCTTAAATATTCCCCCTGATTACTAAGTGAATGCTTTTGTTTTATGAAAATGAATATTTTTATTCATTCATCTTTGCTCCTCTGGTGTAGGTATGGTTTCTGAATTCAGGGAGGCCTGTTACATATCTGAGAGTCAGTGGAGCTGAGCAGTTGAGTCATAATTGCAGTAATTAGATCATCTGAAAAAAGACTGTCAATTCAACTCTAGTTATTTAGCTTAGTCATTCCCAAGATCTGCTTGGATACAAGTCTTGTAGTTCTTCACTGAAGCTTAGAAATAATATATTCCCTTCATGGAGACCTCATCAACTGCACTAGGAAAAAGAATTCACAACAATTGATTGTAACCATAAATCCAGATGCCCTCCCAAATGCTCATAAAGATTATAAAAGAGTCCATGGTTGCTTTTGTCTCTTCTAGATTTAAGTATATTTCTAGGTTTTAGGTTAACGATTATACAAGAGACACTATAGTAACTAGCTATTATTTTCTTTCTTATACCTACTATACTTCTAAATTCTTTTTCTGTAGTCTGCTTTGGATTGAATATGTTGCTGAAAATTGGAAACCTCTTTGTTTGTATTGCAGCTACAGTTTTTAACTAAGTTTATCCATTAAAAGCAAGCACAGAAGGTAGAAGTAAAATTTAAGTGTTGATGTTAGGAAAAATTAAAGAAAATATAATAATTAGAATTATTCTTTTGACTGAATACTAGAAAACTGATTTCTCTTTAGATGTAGTAGAAAACTTGAAGAACTCTTAATGATGATCTGGGAACAGCTTCTCATTTGCTGGGTGATGAAATTAATGACTGTGGAGGTGAATTAATCATATAAAACAGAATTCTTGCTGTGTGTCTCATCCAGGTCTAAGCAGAGGAATTTGCCTAAGGTCATACTACTAACTAGTTACACACTGATTTTGGAGTATTTCTTCCTTTTTAATAACCAATTAGAGAATATTAACACAGACTAAATTACAGTCTTAAACCACATTAAATCGTGGTTAAATATCATTCTTGTATGCATCAGATTAATGCTATGTGTCACCAGTCCTCTGAAAATGACTTTTTCATAAAAAGTGCTGACCGCCTCCTCCTCCTAGAGATGCTCTCCTCAGCGACTTCCTTCGAGTTTTCCCTACTTTCCTCATCACTTTTCTAATGACATTCCCTCTGTTCAGGGTCCTCCTTCAAACCTCTAAATTTTGAAATCTGTAAGGCTAATCTTGGTATTTTTTCCCCTTTCTAAACATTTAAAGTTTTTCTTTAGATGAGTTCATATATTCTCATGGTTTGAATTACCTGGCTGGTTTTAATATATACGAAGTAAACAACATGTTAGCCCAGAACTCTTTACTGAACTTCTAACCTGTATATCCAACTATCTACTTGGATTTTTTACTAGGATGTTTTATAAACTTCAAAAATATGTAAGTTTTCATTCCCTTCACATTCATCTTATTTTTTCTGGCTAACCCTCTATTCACAACCATGTACTTTCTTAGTAAGTGATGCCTTCCTTCAGCCAGTCACCCAGAATTGCTCAAGGCATTAATGGAAATCTTTCATTTTTCTTTCTCTCTTTTTTCTTCATAGTTACTGTAATTGTCATTGAGTCTATTATATGTAGCCTGTAGATGTAGTCTGTAAAATGTTTCTTAAATCCATTATTCACTCATTACCCAGTATTTCTTAGCACCGTTACACATCAAAGTATGTGACTGTGAACAAGACAAACAGAATCCCTGGTCTCATGAACTATTGTTACAGTGGGATAAGAAAAAAAACCGAAGTAAATAAGCTAATACAATGACTCCATAATATGTTGCCATGCAGGAAGTAGATCGTGTGCCATGATCAAGAATAAAAAGAGTGAATCTTTGGAATACAATGGTTAGGAAAGGACTCTTTAGAACTGAGAACTAATTGCTAAGATCAATTCAGCCATAAAAAAAAAACGCCCTGAGAAAGGGCATGTCTGCTGTGTGCATTGTAAATGTTATATATTTCTTATCATAAATTTTAGTTCCCTTACAGTGACCCATGGATTCTTGCATAACTTGGCCTCTGCCAAACATATATGTAATAAATGTGTCAGATACTATTTAAGATACAGTAATACAGCTGTAAGACAGAAAAGTTTAGTCATTGCAGTTCTTACATGCTATTGGAAAGAGTTAGAAATAAACCAAGAATAAGAAATCAAGAGAAATGTTAGATGTGATACGTGCTATAAGACCCAGTGGAATCACAGGGAAATCAAGGGGGGCCTTCAGAGACCTGACATTTGAAAGTGAGATTTGAATGAAAGAAGTGATCAGTCCTATAGAGGGAAATGCTTGTGTAAGGCTAGCAAACGGTTAATGTGTTTGTATCACTGAATGAGACAGTTTGGTTGAAATGTAGGGGATGACAGGAGAGGGTACAAGCTGTATAGACAGTCAATAGGTATTCGTAGTGGGGCACAGGTTTGATCTTAAAAACAAGCATATCAATAATCTATTGCATATAAAACATAGAAATGATTTATACATACCTTAATCAATTTGGAATCATTTTCCCCAGCATGACATCATGCAGATTCCCTCGTTTGTCTTTTTTTTTTTTACAGAAATATATTGTTCTACGTGCAGCTCTAATTAGGTAGTTTAATAAGTAAACTTGTTTGTCATGATAGAATTTTAAAAATTTTATGCTATCAATCATTTAGTAAATACACATCTTCTATACTTGGGCTGTGTGTTGGATTTTTCCATAAAGATTTATAAATTTTCCTCTATTTCTCTTACAGAACAAAAATAACAATTGTTGTGAGACAATATTTTTGCAATTTCATCTAGGATTTGACATTTGGATTTGTTGCCTTCATTTAAAAAGTGCTCCTATAGTAGCAGAAAAAGTAGCTATCAAGTGAGTTATTTCATACCTGGATCTTCAGAAGAGCAGATGTCGGCTCAATTAGAAGAACTGGAAATGTTACACAGCACAAAATGGATTCACCACAGGTATGTCGCTGTTTACTTTCTATGAACTAGATTCAGTCAAACAGTTGGAACTGAGCCATAACACCAATATTGTAGAAATTAAGAAAAAACTTAATGTGGCGAATGAACCTAAATATTTCCAAAAGTGTACTTTGCTTCTTTTTAGTGCTAAATATTCTTCATGCAAAATAAACGCAAAATGATAGAAGCAGTTAAACACAGTTTACAAATGTTATGAGGTCAGACTTTACTCATTTATTTCCCAGAATTTACCAATTTATGAAAATAACTTTGTTCTTTGAATAATAGGGGTTGTAAAATGGAATAAACAAACACGGCAGGATACCCCTGTTCTTTATAAATTCGTGCACGGAGAAATGGAAGTGTCTTCAATTTCCAAACAATTCTCTCAATTATCAGATAAGTTAAAAATACATCCTAGAGTCAAAATTTAAACAGAACATACCCCTTATTATTTAACACTCATAAAGACACTAAGACACATCTCATTTTCCAGGTGTAAATTTTAACTAGGGCTATATGTTTAGTAAAATATGGATGAAAAAATTTATGATTGGATTAATGTCCTGAATCTTCAGTGGCTACTTTTCTAAAAACAATTCTAAACAATATCTAGGGTAGACTTAAAATAAGTAGAAGTATTGAAGTAATTATCACAAGGATGACCTTCTCTCTCTCCGTCTATTTCTAAGGTTTTTTCCATCTTTATGATGTGGGAACATTACCAGATACAGGAAAGGCTCTTTATAGTTCTGAAAGTCTATTCATGTACAAAGAATTCTTACAAGTTTAAATGAAAATTCAAGAGGAATTGGCTATTTGATATTTGACATTAATGCAAAGACAAAAGCAAGACGCTGCTAAATTCTGAACCCGATTTGGTGGTTCTTTGAAAAGGGACAGGGGCTTTCAGAGTAGAACTTCTTTTATGGATTATTAATTTTGAGACAGTTTTAAATTCCCAATAAACAGCCAGAGACTGAGGAATGTTACCTAAATGAGAGAACATAAATGTCAGTTCAGGTTTGCAACTCATTTGGCATCTGTACAGATTGAAGTACTGGAACAAATGAATTTTTCTAGGAATAGGCAAAGAAAAAGGAAGATGATAACTTCAGGGATCTTCATTACCAAGAAACTAAAGAAAGTAGAGTTGGTAAGAGATAGAGAGGGAATGGGAAAATCTTAGAGGTTTGCAGTATATACTACTTACAGAAAATAAAAAGAGAGAGAGAGGACGCTGGGTCATAGAAACTGCCAGCATATTTGGGGAAAGTTAGATTCAAATCCCTTTCCTGTCCTACTCTGTTGAGTATTTATATCAAGAAAGATGCTGAATTTTGTCATATGCTTTTTTTCTGTGTTATTGAGATCATCTACTAGCTTTTGTTCTTTATTTTATTAATATGGTGTATTACACTGATGGATTTTCATATATGGAATCAGCCATGCATTCCTGGGATAACTTCTACTGGGTCACGGTGTATAATTCTTTACATACGTTGCTGGATTCAGTTTTTCCTACTATGTCATTGAGAATTTTTGCTTCAATATTCTTGGGGAATGTTGGTCTCTAGTTTACTTTTCTTTGTGATGTCCTTGTTTGATTTTGGGATCAGGGTAATACTGACCCCATAATATGAGTTGAGGCATGTTCCTCTTCTTATATCTTTTGGAAGGGTTTGGAAGAGTTCATTTTATTGAAGTTATCTAATTTTTTGGCATAAAATGGTCCATAGTATTCTACTCTATCCCTTTTTTCCGCTGTAATATCAGTAGTAATAACACCACTTTCATTCCTGTTTTTAGTAATTAGAGTCTTCCCTCTCTCTTTTTTTTTTTTTGGTCAGAAAAAGATTTTAAAAGGAGAAAATGGACAAGGAAGAAGAATCACAATGAAATAAACACTTTAGAAAACTGGCATTTTCTAATAAAGGTAAACATACTACCACCCTATGATACAGTCTCTTCATAGGTCTTTACCCCTAATAACTTTTTAAATGCCCAAAACAACTTGTATAAGAATGTATGTAGTATTTTTATTCATAATATTTTGAGTTACTGATATTATTAAAATTGAATATTAATCATAATATTGAATATTGAAAAATAGTGTTGAATAATAATATTGAATATTGAATATTGAATTGACCAAATGTCCATTACCAAGAGAATACATTTTCCAATAATAATTTGCAATTTTCTTTAATGCCCAGTTCTCTCCCTAAGCTAGAGGAAAATAGTAGTCTGAAGCTTACCTTCAAATCCTAGCTTTTATCACCTACTGGCTATATGACATTCAGTAATTAAATAAAGTCCCCGTACTTCAATATCCTCACTTGGAATGTGGTGGATGATAAAGTACTGTCCTCATAAGATGTTATGAAAATTAAATGAGTAATATTTGTAAACCTCTTGGACCAGTGTTTGACATGAAGCACATGTACATATTTGTAAAATAAAAGCATTCCTCACCAAATAGGAAAAACAAGCCCCTTTCAGATAATACCTCTAGAGAGGCTATGCAAGAAGGGAAAAATGCAGCAAAACAGGAGTTTATTCTTACCAGAGAAATTTTGAAACTGAAGCATTGATAGAAGTACTGGTGAGCTGTCAGGCCTTAGCGGAGATGTTAGAAGAAAAAGAGCAGAAGGTTTAAACAATATTTCCCTCTTCCCGAAGGTCCACCCAGTTCTTTCGCCTAGGTTTCTCTAACATGGCAGGTCACGTGGTCTCACTGCCAGTCCATCTGCAACACTGGGTCTTCAGTGCCCGTCGCCAGGTACTTTCCATTTGCACCCATTGGCTTCCAGATCATGGGACATCACTTATAATGAGTACTACAGCAAGGCTGGCCAGGGTTTCTCATTTGAAGTCTCAGAATATCCTGATACTTGATTTAGAGTGTATTAGCGAGACACCCACAAACATGGGTGATCAGTCATGAGAGGAAGGGCATGCCCAAATTCCATTTATTCTGGCTTCCAGATGCTCTCTGCAGGGTATCTGGATTTCTAGGCTTGCTCCTAAAGCCAGGTCTAGGAAGCAGCTATTTTCCCTAAAAATACATTCTTACTGTGTGGGCATGAAATGGAAATAAGAGAATTTCAGCTCTTTAAGCCCATATAGAATTGAAGATTTTAGTCTCTACAAATTAAATAGTAGCAGCAAGAGGTGGAACAAAAATGACATCTTTGGTTTGTCTTAGCAAAAGTCTTCGTTAAAATTTCACAATTATCATGTTGAAATAGGTTAAAAAAATGAAGTATTTTCGACTCAACCACACTTTTTGGATGTCTGCAGTTATGGAGAAGTTCTTAGTTAATATTGAGAGAAAACGTGCTGATCAGTAAATATTAACTGCCAACTTCAACAGTAGTGAGATACAGAGACTTTCAAACAGAAAATTTCTGAGCGAGATAGACATAGTGTATTGAATCTCTGGCTTTTCATCAATATCTCTATTCCTGCTCCTGTGACATAACTTGAATATAATACCTATAATAAAAGTTATATATTTTCTTAAAGTAAATAAGAACAATATTATGATTTTTGTAAAAAGATGATAGATATTCATTACTTATATTTATAACCTTGATGTATTTGTCCGAAAGGGATTCTTGTAGCAGGGAGGAGGGTAGTCAAGAACCCCCAAGTCAGTGCCCTTCATTTGAATAAAAGAGCCCTGAAATTTTTAGAGGTATTAAGTGAAGTAAAGAAATACTTTCATCTCCACTTTTCTCATAGAGATGAATTTGTATCACACCCAAATGAAAGTAATCACTTCATTACAAATTTGCTATATTTAATACCCTCAATCTGAATGAAAAGTTCCTTTAATCCAAATGGAATTTTCTATTTTGTTATGTGTATTATATTTGTAATTGCATTGAAGTTACTATTTGTTTATAATTGGGTCATAATACATGGTGCAGACTAAGAGGAGATAACTAGCTGTGTTAGAAACCATTAATTTTCATGGACAAACTTGACACTCTACAGATGTAATTTGCAAGTGAAAAAATGCTTTTTCCCTTTTGGATCCTTTTTTATTTACAGGAAGTCTTGGTTGAATTAATAAATAAAGAGTGGCTGAAATATTTCACTGTAATTAGTATGAGGGATTTGTAGGGGAATGTTTAACCAAGAGATGTGAGATGCTGTCAGGCAATGGATTAACACCAGAACAAAGGTCTGAATAAATACGTAGTTTCTCAAACCAAATTCACTAAACACAAAAGGGGTCACCCTTTAGATAAGACTCTCACATTTAATGTGAGATTGCATAGGCATGTTCTTTGAACTGTGATAAAGTGCTCAGCAGGTGTCTTTGGGGACATGAGACAATAAGGTATTCTTAACCCAGAAACAGTCAGACCCTATTATTTCCTATGAAGCTAGAAAATTTTGGAAGTGAAGCAAAAAAACTATTGGCTGGAATTACAACATTCTACAAGTATATTTTTTTCAGTACTAACACAAAATTAGCATCAAAGTCATTCTTTTAAAGAATGTATATAATGGTAAAATGGTAAAACATATGTCTCCTTTAAGGATAGTAAGTAGGCAAACCTTTACACTTCTGATATGGTTTCTACTTTTTGTATCAAATTCCATGTTTTGCAGTGACTCATCATTTTATACATTAGAAGTATTTTCTCCTGTCCTTTTCCTTATATACTTCCATCTATGCTGAAACAAAGATAAATCAACCTCCTTCTTATATTTCATATTGCCTTATGGGGTGTGTTCATTCATGGGACAACTATTGGAGTCATATCTTTGCTCAGAGATTTTCTAGATGCTGTCTATACCTCATAAATGAGATGTGCATTCTGTCTTCAGTGAATTTCCTATATGTTTGGGGCAGTAAGACAAGTTACACAATATTGGCTTAGAAGTGTTATAAAGGTTTACAAATAATGGCACAAGCACTCACCAGAGGCAGACATAAATTCTAGTTGGAGCAATCAAATAAAGAGGTTTATTCATTAATCTTTTGGGTGACATACTGCTGTCGACACCTCCTTACATGTAATATTCATACCCAGTGCGTGTACATTTGATTTCTGGTGGAACCCTGCCCAAATTAACAAAGAAGATGTCCAAAAAAAATCATGTTTCTCCAGGTTAGAATTTAGGTAACTCAATCAGACCAACATGTCCTCCTTTCAAATCTCACAAAGCCCTGCACTGCTGCGCCTTGTAAATAAACACCATTGGCTATAATTTTTCATTGATCAGCTTTGCTCTTTGTTCCCATGACTCCCAAGTGTTTATGAAAATAATAACCAGTATGTTTACCATTTCTTTTGACTCAGTGTCATACATGGGCAGGAATGCTTGACTAGAGGCCGGTACATGTCCCCAGCCATTTTTTTCCGACTGTAGTGTAGACAACTGCCTTTTGGCAGTTCATGTGCAAAATTTCAACTTACGAAATCGATTGAAAAGAAAGAGCTGACATGTAAACCTTACTGGTGGATAAGAGCTTATTAAAACTCTAAATAAAAATGTACTTTTAGCGTAAGCATCTTAACAAGATGCAGCAGTCTGGATTCATGCTTTGGCTACTTAAAGAAAATATGTGAATGAAGTAAAAAAGTTGTTGACCATTAAATTCTGTTCATTTGTATTTGGTATTTCCTTACATTTCCATTGTTGTTATTAATGGAGAAGATAGAATATTTTCAGAAACCACATTTTTATTTGAATATAATTTAGATAATTTGGTATTTATAGTTCAGTATCAAAAGTAAAGCCTTCATTAAATATACTCTTTTTAATAGTTGGTATATTTGATTTCTCAATGCACATATTTTTAATGGCTTGCTTTTTGTTTTCTTTCGTGTGAAGAAAAGGAAGGCATAAAAATTATCTACTTTACAGACAGACATTTTTAATGTTGTGAAAGGAAAGAAAAATGGTAAAGTTCACTTACTAAAGATCATGAAAGTGCCTGTCAAAATATTCTAGGATCAAGGAGACAGCAGCAATTTCAAAAGTGCAGTTCCAAGGATCCTTTATATTCAAGGAGTAAATAGTTTCCCTTAATCTCCCATAAAACAGCTTTAAGAGTCTCCAGCCACGCGAAACCAAAACTAAAAACAAAAGGTTATATGAAGTTACCTAGAACTTTGTAAGTTAGTTCTCTCTGAAACTTTCTTAGCTGCCTCGGGAGATACATCAAACCCGAAACCTAAAGGAATCTAATGCTCTATTGTATAGGTTTGTTTTCTGTTGCATGGTTTTATTCTCAAACATAAATAATTTCCAAATGAATAACCTCTTCCTAAAGGCAGATGCACTTTTGTGTAGGATAAAGAATTCTCCTTTTATGAATTTACCCACCATATTGGGTCCTCTGGCTTTTCATCAGTATTTTCTCTGTTCTGAAATACACATTCACCCAGGGCACCGCCAAACAGTAAACTCAAGAGACGACTACTTAGAACCAGTATTGGCTTTAAATATTAATTTTATATCATTTCATATCTTCTTACTATATTTATACCACCCAGAAACTATCCTGCCATGTTACTACTGGCACCCACTTTATGTGCTGTACCAGTTAGGATGTTTTTAGTTATAATTAAAGAATCACGTTTGCTTAGATATAAGAATGTTTGTTATTTCTCCTACCAGGAAGTTTACTGGTAAGGTGATGCCTGGTGTAGGAAGCAGGCGAGATACAAGAAGCGGTCTGCTTGGAGATTTTGGAGAAAAAGTACTCTGCCCTTAAGCAAGAAGAGACTTTTCTGAATGTTGCCTTGGCAGCTAGGATGGTGGAAGCCTTCCTGAGGTTAGGAGAGAAGCCTAACAATACAGGGATGCACAGGGAGTGGAGGCAGTGACAGAACCAGGCTCCTGACACGTCACTGTGTCCAGTCCTAAACCCATAATTTTCATGGAGAGTGTAGTAGCCTAGCAAGGGACCAAGCCTGCAGGCCATGCAGTCCTGAAATTGGTGAAGGAGTCACCTTTCCTGGAAACATTTGGGTGAGAAGGAAATCTGGTCATTTATCAAGAAGAAAAGAGCGGACATAGTTTTGGTAGGGAACAGTATTTGCTACAGATGCCAAACCGAAGTAAGAGAGCTAAGGTTTCTGATGAATCTGTATTTTATAACATTGTAAAGTATAAGCACCAAACTTAAAGCTCTCAAAAGGCATTTAGACCTTTAAGAGTTTTCTGCTTGAAGCAAGTGACACACTTGCTCGGGAATGACTAGTCGGGGTCCTTGCCCTGACGCCATCACTGAACGATTATTTGACTTTGGACTAATATTTTAACCTTTCCTTGTTTCCCAAATCATGGAAAGGAAGATGACATTAGATTTCGTAGTGGTCCATCCCATTTTTAGAAACTCTGTGATCCTCTACTTATCATTCATTCAACCATGAGGTATTTATTTAGTGCCCAAGTTGTCCTGTATTTTATACATGTTTATGAACCAACCATGGATCCCACTGTTACCTGCAGTTGCCCCGCATACACTGCACTTGTAGTCAGTGGCCTTCACTTCATCGCTGCTGTTGCCTGTCCTGCTCTGCTCCTGTCGCTTGGAGGTTGTGTCTGCCCTTGTTCTGGCTGGCAGCTCATTCCAGTTTCACTCTGGCTGGTGGCATGTGTGGTTTCCTACAGATGCTCAGCTTTGCAAGCAGCTTGGAGTTTAATCACTAACTGCCTTAGCTGAGAGCTATTTTTCCTTAGTTCTGAAATCACAAGATTGTTCAGCTGACCTGTCCCTGGACTTTGATAGGAGAGAAAGCTTCAAATACTATGCCAGACACTGAGACACAAGCAGACAAACATATTAATGAGAAGTATCCCTTCCGTTATGTGGGGTGTGAGGAGAGAGTAGCAATAGGAATCCCAAAGCTCCGTGAGCGCACCAACAGCCACTAAGGCCCAGGGGCCCCGTGGCGTGGCCGCTGTGCACTGCGGTGCCCTCCCTTCGTGGAGTCTCCTCGGCACTGGCTCCTCAGCCGTCACGTACTCTCAGAGACAGAGCTCGCCTTTGCTCTTGGTAAGCAGTTTCCTTGGCCTGCACTATTCAGACATAAATATACGTTTATGTATGTCAATGTCTTAATTTATTCATATGTGGATGTATTTATTATATTTATTCAGACATGTAAATAAATACCTGATAAATATTTTGTGGAAAAGGATACAAAGCAAATTACAGGAAAGGAGAAAGGAATCTGGATAGTTTAGCATCCATTTGAAGGAACTAATAGGTAGAAAGTTATCTTTAGATATGAAAATTTGCACAGAAAGGTGGGATATATATGTTCTCTAATTCTACATATAAAAGGTGATGATAATGGCTTATTTGAGATAAGTTATGCTGAAAAATTACTCTGAAAAATTCAAATGAAAGTGATTGAACTGGGCAATTATATTACTCTTCTTACTGGCAGATATTTATAATATAGAAATTATCTCTTCATTATAAGAAGCAGTTCAAATTATTTCATCAACAAGCATTTGAAATTTCTTAATGCTGTAAATATTCATATACGTCTTTAACATACCTTTACAGGGTTTGGTATGGACTTGAAACAACTCTGGTTCTTAATAAATATTTATTGGAGTGTCCGTTTCACTGAAGTTAAACCTGGTCTTCAGCAACTTGCTTGATGTATCCTCAATCCATCGCTGTTTAGCTCATATAGTTTCATGTGCAGCTTTTATGTATTCCATTTAGAGAATTATTTAAAAATAACATTAGTTTTAAAATGGATTAATACCTTCTCTTAAGACTCTGCCACAGTTCAAAGTTTTTGATCCCTTTCATGACATCTTGGTCACAGTGTGATTAGATTAAATGAGCCATAGTTTGTGTTGGGAAGATTTTTCCTCAAAAACTCCATTTCTAGCAGCATTTTAATTTCAGAAATTCCTTAATCCCATGAAATCACACAGTTTAGTAATTCTCATAAAGTTCCTGTGAGCTATCTGTCTGCCCTCATTAAATTAACTATCGCAATAACTGTATTCCAAAGTGACCATAGATTAATAATGGGTTAACTCATAGCTATGCTTAAATTTACTGATACTGGTAACTTCCTTAAGATATCAAAGTAGCATGACTAGCAAAATTTACAGAGCAAAGGATGAAATAAGAAATAAGAAATCAATCTTCTCTTCCTTTGAAGGACCTTCCCATATGAAACAGCTGGAACAAAGATCTTCAGTTTTGTTTTTGTTTTTCATTTTTTAATCATACTTATAAAACTTTAGTCAGACTTGGGACTTACTACTTATTGTGAATTGATTAGGTAAGTGAAGATTTAGAAAGTAATGTATCTCTGGTAGGTTTTTATATTTCAGATATATATTCAAATGTATCTCAGATTGTTAAAAACATACATATACAGGACAAGGTCAGATGGATGCCTCTGAACTAATCCGTTAGGTGCAATACCTAATAATAGAATTCTCTACCGTATTTGATTTGTATGTATATATCTGTGATGTATTTTTATGTGTTCAGATGATGCTACTGCAGTACTAAAATCTATAAATTGCCTTTCCAGTAGCAAGGATGGGGCTACTAAATTGTTCACATTACAAATAGTTGATTTATAACTTAAGTATCATGGGCTTTTTAGACTGTTGGACAGGGTTAACAAGGGAGAAGACAGTTTTCCTTTAAAATGACTGAACAAGTGGTGGGGGACAGAAGCTATGTTTCATTAATAGTATTAAGCTGTTGGTCAACCGTTTTTAACTTAGATAATGGACAGGAAGAATTTATAAAGTTGATGTACCTAGATAGGCAAAAGTGTTTTGAATTATGTACCAGCAGGTCAAATTATGGGCATTAGAATTCCTCTCATTGAAAAACCAAAGAGAGCCCATGATCAAACTCCATAATGAAGTGAGAATCATTTCCTGGTTGCCTTCCATGAATAAGGGACTAAGTTATATTTACACCATTAAACATGCTTTAAAATGGAATGAAAATTAGATATTGATGTTCGTTCCTATGCTTCAAGCATTTAGTGAGCCATATGGTAATGTTTTCCATATGAATGTACAAATAACTTATTCAAATCAAACTTTTGAGTACTGAGTAATGGTAAGACTTAAGATTTGTGGTGTTATTTATAGTAAGGCTGTATTTTAAAAGGCATGCGTTCTTTTTCATACTTAAAGTGCTTGGATAGCTCTTTTCCTTATGCTGTGATTTCATAACATTGATCTTTCAATAAATAATCAGTGATGATGGTGATGGTACATTTGTAAAAATAAAATTGAAAAATGAGTTCTAAATTTGAAAGAACTCTCCCGGAAAGTAACATTTTTTAAAAATTCTGCAATTTGAGGTTATCCCAGGTTATCCCATGAAACCAGGTTGTAGTGGCAGAAATGATGTAATGTGTATTTGTGAGTGTGTTTGTGCACACACACACACACACGCACACACACACATATGTTTTCTATATTCATTGATTCATCAACACAGCCTCCATAGTCTTTTGGTCCATGAGTATGTGGACAAACCCTATTCTAAAAATATTTTCAGAAATCTGTTACTACAAAATGAGGAAATCCAAGCACAGTTCATCTCTATTAAATGTTCTTACCTTCATCTGGAATACAAGTGTGTGCTTTGAATGCCACTTGGATTAACAAATACAAAGAGAGAAGTTACGTGAGTATTATTTTCGACTTGACATAGTTTTTGTTGTAATGTACATCTCCTAAGTTATAAATATCACCAATATTTTTAACCAGGAAGAAATAATTCTCAAAATCTTATGTGAATATTTTTTAGAGTTCCAAGTTCATTGCCATGTTCTCTGTCATGACTGTGCTTCAGCTTCTAAAATAGAAAATTTGGGGTTTTTTTTTCCTTCCATTTGTAGTTTGAACTTGCCTTTCAGATCATTAGTCTCAGGTAGAAATGTACTGAAAACAATTAATCTGAGCTCAGTTCAACAGCTTCATACTTTAGGTCATTTAATACAAGGTATGTGCCAAGAATTGCAGGGTTGAATGATTCTTTTCAGTGGGTCACAACTGTAACAGAAGGCTTTGAAAACCACACTATTGTAGCATCTGGCAAATGAGTTTAGAATCGGCTTATAAATTAAAAACCACATTTAGGCAGAATCACCCCTCAAAATTCCCAAGAAAAATATCAAAGTAAACTAACCTAAACTCAAGACAAATCTCCAGTATTGGAATAAAATCTATTTCTCTGATTGAATCATGCTCAGAACGGTGAGCTCCTGGTATGATAAGCATTCTAGAAATAGAAGAGTTTGGAGAAAAGTAGGTACTTGCTGTCCCTCACATTCCCCTTGGGCCTATGCTCATTCCCTGGCCTATTTAAATAATTATTTCTCTCCTTGTTTCTCTGTTTTGTTTTATTTATTTGTTTGTGTCTATTTTCTGTCTTCCTATTTTTGCTCACTGTTCTGCTCATCTCTCTTCCCAGGTGCCAATATGTGAAGACTTTATGCGAGGCTAATGCAATGACACAGAGAACAAATGGTTATTCACAAGGCGGCCCCAGGTGAGCACACCTGTGTCCTGCTACATTCTAGGGAGTCAAAAGACAATGGGTTACCTGCAGCTAGGTGGGGAATAGAGGAAACTAGCCTGGTAAGATGGTATTGAGACTAGCTTAGACATGGATGGGATTCTAAGCAGTAAGATGAAGAAGAATGTAATATTTCAGGTAAAGAGAACTGCACAGAGACACATAATAGAAACAGTAGGACATGTCTTGTATAATACAAATTTGGAAAGGCATTCGAAAGCATATTAAAGATGCATTTTAATGTCAGGATAGAGACCAACTAAAGGAAAATTCTGTGGAAACTCAAAAAATAGTTTTAAAATAAAACTGTGTCCTAATATAAGCAGAGCTCTGCTTCAGAAAGAATAATCTCAAAGCAGTTTATGCAATGTAGAGCTATAGAAATAAAGATAATACAATGGCTATGGTAATGGGAGAGGAAAAAAAGTAATCAAAGATGACTTTGAATTTTTGAGCTGATCTTACACAGAATGATTGTGTTATATAAACAACTGGGAAAGTCAGGAGCTTCTCAATGCCCTAACTCAGAAAATAGTCACTATTTTTGCTTGTTGTATTCTTTCTTTTGGTTTATTTTTTCCATTTAATTCTTAGTCCATCTGAGTTCTTGGATTATCATACAAGATCTAATTTGATTTATATCTCTACTAAGCAGTTTTCCCTCTAACATAGTTCGAAAGTGAATCTCTTTTCTATTGGTTGGATTCATGTAGCTTTATTACTTCAACACTGACTATAATGTATATTGTAGAACCACTGTTTACTATTGTACATAATACCTAGTGTTGTACATGATATTTAATGCCATAGTCTATCAATCTATGCCTAAATATGAAGGTGTCTTTTTCATAGTTCCTCAGTTGTATTTGTCTTGTTTTTAAATAAAACATTGATTTTTCCACTATTTTTCCTTCACTGAAAATCTTTCAGTCTCCATTATGAAATGGCACTTGTATTTCTTATTGCCATAATTCACACACCCATAAATACCCCATTTAGTTCAAATATCTTCTAAGATAGTAGAGATGCCTGTGAAGGAAGTAAGAGGTGGAGAGTAATAAACCTCGTGAAGCCCATATATTCAAGAAAAAGAGAAATGGTGAAATAGTCAAAGAGATCATTTCAATACCAGATGAAATTTTGACCCTGCACAGGTGCCCAAGTTATCATCCATATAATTATTTTTATGTGTATAAAAATAAGGAAAATATGATGATGCGGTTGTCTTGGGAAAATTGCACTGTTACCTAATATAGTATAATATTGTTAAAAAACTATACAAGAGACACCATCAGGGTGGAATGGTATTGGCCATCATATTGTAACAGCAGAAGGTATTAGGCATCCTCAAAGCTCTGAGAAAACTAAGGGTGGAAAATAATTCTGTAAAAAAACTGAGTTGCATGTCAACACTGAGTTGTACAGATCTGAATGAATAAGTTATGTTCAGAATTGATGGGGTCCCTGAGATTGGATCCCCTCACAGTTTACTTGATTTGGAGATCACTGTATCCTTTCTTCACCGTGAAAATCACTCAGGCAACTGCTATGGGATGTATGCTCAGGTCCCCCAGGATCACGTTGGAATCAAATCTCCAGGATGGTGGTGTTTACAGATAGGCCTTTGCAAGATAATTAGATCATTATGTATGGTGCAGCTTTCATAAGGGATTCATGCCCTTATAACCAGTGACAGGAGAGAGCTTCTTCCCTTTCTGCCTTGTGAGGATGGAGAAGACTGGCCATCTGTAACCCAGGGCTCTCAAGAGACACCGGGTCTACCTGTGCCTCCATCTCAGACCTCCAGCCCCGGAACTGAAGGGGGCATGTCTCTGGTTTAAGCCGACTCTCCGTGGTGTTAGTAGGAGCCTCCTGAACTAAGGTGAGCACCTATTCGTTTCTTGACTCATCATCCCTTTAACTTCCTTATTTTATTTTACTAAGTATTACATACATTTTTTACATCCTTTCAACTTACCACTTTCTTATTTAGCTTGTAGTTAGTATATAATATGTTTGCTGCAGTGTAGAAGAAAACTGCATTTTTACCGTTGCCATGTTTATATCTATCATCAAGTGCTGCAAACAAATATACCCACAAACACATTTTTAAGTGTGAAGGAATAAATAACTGGCATTTTTAATGCTTTACATTTTGTAAAATTATTATGATGGAATATTATGTAGGAGTTTAAGTGTTTTTTATATTTGAGGGATTTTGTTGGGTTTTAAGGTAAACTGGGAATGTGTTATTATTTTTCCCACATAAAGTAGTGAAATGTAGGCTCTCGCTATCCAAGATCCACTCACACATTTGAATGAGCTATTCTTGGGTAATGAAGAGATTCCTCACTTTTGCTACTACAGCTGCTATGATTACTTCTAATATTACTCTTACTCCTCTGCTACTTTTCCTCTTAGACAATTAGAAATACATAGTGGTTGGTACAGAGGTGAAAAAACATGTTTGTCTATGTTAGATGCATTTGCATGTAGAATTTAAGAAATACACATTATTTTAAGAAATATATTTTATGTCCTAACTGGACGCACAGCTTATTTTTAAAATTAATACTCCACTATTTTTCAAAAATGCTGACACATAGCAAAGTTTACTTTAGCAAAAGTAAAATTACATGGCTTATACTTGCCCCCAAATATGCCCTCTCATTTCCCAGGATATTGACTTATTAAGATGGGAAAATAATAAACTTTATCAATTTTAGTTCCCTAAAACCTTTCATAAAAGATGGCAGGTCATAACAAAATACTTCTGGTTACTGAAAAATTGGTGTTTGTGTCTATCTACTTTTCCCCCTTTCTTTTGCAAGATCTCTTAACATTATGAAAAGAAGTCTGGGCTTTTGCAAGCAAGAGAGAAAAGAAGTAGGTCATTTCTCCTGCAGTAAAGGAACAATGTTACATGTGGTGTTTACTTTCCTGTGAGTGTTCAAGCTTTCCCCAGGGTTTTAGTCCAAAGTAAAAGAAGGGCAGCAAATGATTGGGTCCCTAGCTGTTACACCTTACCCTTAGCTCAGCAATATGGAGTCAACAAGGAAAAGAGGCCAGATTCATGTGGTCAGGAGTCTGAGATAGGCCGTAATAACCCTCTCTGTTCCTTTATTCTGCTCCAGCCAGGGGCCGGCAGGTTAACATTCTCTTTTCTAATGTAGAAATATTTTTAAAAAGAATATGTTTTATTTAATTTATACTATGTGGTTGCTTTCAAATGCAGACAAAACGAAATAGAGACTTTTTTCTTCATTTACTTCTTAAATGTATAAAATGTATGAATAAATATACTCTACTGAGATGAGTGGTTTGAAAGAAAAGGACAAAAGCAATTTTAAAAGAGAACTTTTTGCTGGTTAAAATGTTCCCAAAGGCTGTGTATATTCTGTCAGGAATGCAGAAACATTATTGCCTATTGAAATGTATAGAGTTAGTAATAACTTCTAAATTATCTACAAACTCTCAAATGATACTAAAGCTGCTGTATTTTTATCTTGAAAACGCAAGTCTCTTTGTAATGGATTCTCCCGTCTAACCATTGCCTATCAAGAATTGTGTTTGTTTTCTGAAAGAGTGAGCATGCCTGTGAAGAAAAGATTATTACTTTGCCTCATGAAAATCAATTAAGGATTTTGTCTAAAGCTTTATCAAACATGGCAGAATTTATACCCCGGGAGGGTGTATACTAAGGGTGGCTCCTGGAGTGTGATGTTTTTTCCCCACCCCACCCAAAGTCTCTGGGGCTTGATTTCCACGTATATCCCATACTCTCTGGACAGAATTGGGGGTTGTGGCCCAGGCCCCCTAGGTTCCATTGCAGCTGTACAGAGAAGGCACGTGGACTCCGTGCTGCAGAAATGGGACAGTCCCTCCTGACAAGTCTCACTCAGACCAGGGCCTGTCACTGAACCTCTGCTGCATCTCAGGACCGAGCAGAAGGCTTATGAGCCGCACTTACGTGCAGGGAGTTGCACAGGTCCGTGGCCTTGCTCTCTCATGAGACTGTAGAAGGAAATACTGGCTGGTCTCTGAGTATGCTATGCCCTTCCTAGTACACAGTGTCATAAATGCTGCCTCTGCGCAGATGCATCTTAAATGCCTCCCAGCACTTTTCAGACCTTGACTTAGACATCACCTCTTTCTGGAGATCTACCCAATTTCTTTCATTTTATAAATTTTACTTTTTATAAAGTTAATATTGTCCAAAAGGCTTAGAATGTGAGGTCCTACAAGTGGATGGAGAGCTGCTTTTTCAAGTGCCCCACCCACCCCTCTGCTTCGGTCGCCTTCAGCAGCGTGCTCTGTCCCCATTACTCGGGGCAGGCTGGCTCTGCCGCTCTCCACGTCCCCACGCCCTGGGCACGCCTGCTTGCTTGCTGCTTCCTCTCTGGTCACAGGGCTTCGTCTAGAATAATGCTTATAACAAGGCCATTAGACCTTGTAGACCCCAGAGAATTATTTTGAAAGGCCAGAGTTGCAGATTTTTCCTATGCAATGTGATGTCAGAGTCAGATCCCATTTGAAGGATGTTTTACTCCTTTTTTGATTTAGAAATTTAGCTAAAAGTGGTCAGTGGGTTAGAACAGAGGTGCAAATATGTATTAATTTATACATATATTTATTATATATTATAGATGTATATGCAAAGAACATTTGCATATATAATGTATGAAACAAATTGAAAGATTCTGTTATCTTTCCAAACATCATGAGAAGTCTCCTGATTCTAGTCCAGAATTGCCTCTTAGCATGTGAGTAACACACTACCCGAGCTCTTTTCTCTCTGTGTGTAAAGAAACGGTTTTATCTGAAAGAAAACCAAAGTTGAAAAGAAAATATCTTAGTCGAACTGGTTTATTTCTTGGTGTCACTGAAAACAATAGATTTGACCAAATGAAAACAAAATTTTATTTACAAAATATAACCTGTTTTTTGATACATGGTCTATTTGCCCTGTGTGACCTAAGTGCTAAAACTATAACTTTTCTTTTCACTCTTATTTTGTTTTGTAGTGTTATTTTTAATATCTTTTTGTAACCTAAATGTGAGAAAGGGGAATCACAGTGAGGTGTCAGAGTACATTTATGTACCAAACAGACGTGACCCTGCACACCACACACACAGCTTAAAATCTAGTGGAATATATAAAGGAATAAACAGATGCCTCAGGCAGAAACTGCTCTGTGATTCTAGAGGACTGGGATCTATCTCTTGTCTATTTTAGAATGTAGAAAGAATCAGGCTCTAAGTGCAGTCTGTCCGCCTCCCTTTGTCTCTCCCCTGCTCCCCTGCGGCACCCCCACCCACACACACCTTCATTAAATTGTGCAAGACCTCAGAGGCCATCACGATTTTACCTTTAGAGAGAGTCCTGGTCCCCACCGCTCTTTCTGTTAGGGATGCTGAGGACTCGCCCCTCACCTTCTGTCGGTGCTCAGGACACAGAGGAGACGATCCTCTCTGCCGACCAGTCACTCTTCCATTGCTGCTCCCAGTGCTCTGGCGTGAGGCCAGGGTTAGCCCCCAGCTCCTCATTAGTGGGGTTCCTGCCTCTGCCGCTGTGAGGCCTGGGCATCCCCCTCCTCCCACTCTCTCCTTTCCCACCTCTAACCTCGAAGTCCAGGGGCTCCAACTTTTCCTCCCTGCTGAGACAACGCTACTCTATGCGATCTCGCAACCCTTCCACCCAACCCCACTGCCTGCCAACACATGCTGTGGTGGGGACGGTTTTTGTGAGGTTCCTGAAATACATGAAAAGACCCGGGGACTGCTCCCTGCAGCTGAAAGCCCTAAACTCAAGAATGTAAAGGGAAAAATTATATTTTCATTCCTTTGGCTATAGAATCTGCTTCTGTGAAGTGACAAAGCATAGGGTCATTTCCTCATTACATGAATGGGATTAAAATAGTTCATGATGTCATGGAGTTCATAGAAATCCAGATGCAGCTGGGGCTTCTGGGAACATGGCTCTTTGGAAACGGCATCTTTATGTGAAATTTGAAAGATGAGCGGTTGTTTCCAAGGTAGATTAAGGAGTGAGTAGTAGATATTTTAAGGCCTGATTCATAGTCCGAGGAGGCAAAAAAGTGAAATGAATATATTAACCTTGCTTTGTCTACTTCAGGGGCAGTTGTAAGACAATACATTTAAAATCTGCAGAACGCTAAGGAGGTGTAAAACACTGTCGATGAAGTCACATTGCTTCTCATTTATTTATTTAGCATGTGCAGAGTCCATTCTCATAGCCAGAAGGAGAACCCCCACTCCTGGAATTTGCAGACTCCTGGGACATTTAGGTTCCCACCCCTCCCTGACGGTGAAGGTGCGAGAGCCCGTGCTTTTCCACTGCCGTGTTGGACTGGAATAGGGCCGTTACCGCCGAACAGCTGTTTGGCTAGCCTGTCCTTTCCCAAGCCCTGAGCTGTAAGAAGTAGTCTTTCCCTGGGCTGTTGGTTCTCAGTTGCCAGCTGCTTCCACACCGAGCCCAGGGTGTTCAAGAGGCCAAACGGAGACCTAGGAGCTCACTGTTGAATTGTTCCCTGGGGCTGGAGTTCCCTAGCCAACCTGTCTTCTCTTTGCCTTCCTGCATTTTGTATGTCATGCTGTACCTGGTGGGAGGAAAAGGGGAAAAATCTCTGAACTCCATCTTGTCTAGACCAGAATATCCCTTTAAAATTCTGCATCTGCACTGATTAAAATGTATTTTATTTATTGCCATTTTGGAATAATTATCTCAACTTACCCACTAAATTGCAAGCAGCCCTACACTGGGTATTGGGTGGGTGTCCAGTTGAGACTCATCTGTTTCTAGGGTGTGTCCTGTGGTCCTTTTCAAGGTGTGTCACCTTCTTTCCCATTGCTGTAGGAGTTAAATGGTTAGTTATTAGACTCAAAGCAGTTGCAGGGTACGTGCACTTATCTTTTCCTGACATTTTCACTGTCAGTGGAGAGCTCTAGGGAAAAACCTCATGAGTGAAATTTATTTGGTTTTCTTTATCATGCAGTAATACCAGAGATAAAAAACTTAATCTGAGCAATGGTATGAAATCATGGCTTTAAACTTTTAATGTCTGTTTCTTCCAGGCAGCATTTTCATGGATTATTCTCTAAGGTTTACTGTTATAGAGAAATGTCTTGCGTGGCTAAATAAAAAAAACGAATATACAGATATATCGGTAAATGTTGAATGAAACCACACCAGCCAAGTTTCCCTTCAGTTTTGAAGATTGTACCCATGAGTTTTATCGGTTTTAAAATTCATCTTTATGACTGTAGAGGTTAGATCGTTTCTGTGCCTTCCTTTCCTGCAGAAGAAATAAAATCATGTGTTTCTACATCAGAGTTTTGTACTGTTCTCTGGTAAGTTTCTTTCATAATTCAACAGAGAAAAAGCTGATCAGTTTATCATTTATAATGTCTCCATTTTTGTAGTTTCATCTGTTTTGAAATGTTTCTATGTATAATTCACTGTAGATAATTTGAAGTACATATTCTTTGGGTAGAAAAACTGCTTTTCTTTTCTGAAGATGTCATTTAGAATAAAAAGATCCTTCTTTTTATTTTAATCAGACTGCTTTTTCATATCATGCACATCATCTTGGAGCAAAGAACCACAAATGAGAGGAAAAGTGTTTATTACTACCATATACAAGAAGAAGATAAAAGCCTGAATATGATTCTCCTCTCTAACGTGTTTACTCCATTTCTGGGATTAAAAAAAAAAATAACCCTCCCCAGATAGTAAAAATCATGTTTTTATGTCTGGCTCATAAGAAGGTTTTTAATGATCCCTCTGCTTTTAATACCATTTTTTAAATACCATTTGTAACATTCACCTTGGAACAATTTAACTCAATCTTTGTTGTTTTTACATTTAAATATTAATCTAGATTTATCCCTGCAGGTAAATAATATATTTTATGTAGTTACATAACATTAGGAAACATAAGGTCTTTACTTGCATTACTTATATTATGCAATTCTGAGATAAATCCATGAGGGTGAATTTGAGCTTATTGTTTAGTGTCTGAAAGTAATGGTTCTCCGTGAGAAGGTGGGAGTGACTTTCTCCCTCCGGGTGCATTTGGTAATGAGCATGAAGTAAATGTCCAGAGACATTTTGATTGTCATGACAAGGAGGTGCTGTGGCATCTAGTAGACAGACACCAGGGATGCTGCTGAACACCCTAAAGTGCACAGTGTACATCTCACAACAAAGAATTATCTAGTCCAAAATGTCAGTACTGCTGCTGTTTGGAAACCGCGGCCTCAAAGGAATAATTCCAAGGTCTGATAATTTATGGATTGTTTGAAACTGAAAGAATAAATAACTGATTCATGTGAAGAATTTTATTTTCTCTGTTATTGCATGAATAATACAAGACATTTCACCTTACAAAGGTTTTCAAACATTGCACTAGCAATTATTTCTCTCCAATGTACTTTCTAATTGTTTACTTTGATTTGTTTATCCATGCTTTGAAACAAATACACCTTATAAAAATTCTACATGACTCGATGAAATAGAAATGAAGATAATCCTCCATTTGTGGATCTGCAAGTCATTATGTATCTGTCATGTCTGGGCAGCAGATAAATTGAAGGTAAGATTTAGGTCACATCCATTTTAATCCGCATTGTGCTGGGTGCAAGGCCCCCATATGCCCGCAGCTCTTTATAATTTCCCCCCGGACACCACATCGCTCTGGAAAGCCCGCATCCTGCGGTGCCTGAGTCCATGCAGGCGCCTTGCCCTGTGCTGACCGTGTCTTGCAGGTCCCTGCCCCTGTGAGGGGCAGTACACCAGAAGCCTGATTGCTCCACACATCCCTGCCTTTCCAAGGGGCAAACCCTTGCCAATTTACCCCAGACAAAGATATTCTCGATCTTTCTGCTGCTGCGATTATTTCTTGCATAAAAAGAATCATCACAATTCTTGCCCCTGGATCATTGCTCTCCCATGACAGTTGTTTTTGCCTTTTAATGGCTCTGCTATAGAGAAGTACCGTTTCATTTCACACAGATGTTTCCCCCAGGGAAAATGGATGTCACCAGAGTATTCTGAGGACATGATCAAAACCCAGAGGCCAGGTAGTGCAACCACTCTCTTCCAAGCTTTAGGCTGTGTTGGTGAGTCTGGTTTTCCTGGCAAGACTCCTTTCTTTTGGGTGAATTCCATCTCAGGGGCTCTGACATTCTGTCCAGCAAAACCATGCCAGCTGCAAGTCTACCCTGCTATCTGTAAGACTCTGCCAGTATTTCACATCTAAGTGTGGGAGAGGTCCCACCTACCCCCCGCCCCAGGAGGCCCCTATAGGCAATGTGCTCCTTGTCCATTGCCCTAGAATGCCTCACGACAAATTTGACCCAAACTTATTCTAGTCAAGTTGAGACTCCAGTACATCTTTAACCACCAAAATAAGTAAAAAGAGAAAAAGAATTACAACCGCACAAACACTTTTTCACCTGAGCATAAATTGGCAATATCAGGGCAAAGCTCCACTGAATGATAAGGAAGTGTGACAGTTTTATGTCAATTGGTCTTCATCGAAGGATGCCCAGATATGTGGTTAAACATTATTTCTGGGTATGTCTGTGAGGGTGTTTCCTGATGAGATCAGCATTTGAATTGGTGGGCTCAGTAAGTAGATTCCCTTCCCCAAGGTGGGTGGACAGCGTCCAGTCTGTTGAGGGCCCGACAGAACCAAAAGGCAGAGAAGAGTGGACTCTCTGCCT